GTGTGTGTGTGTGCGTGTGTGTGCGTGTGTGTGTGTGTGTGTGCGTGTGCTTCCAGTTCACAAGTCTGAAGCATCCAGAAACTCATCAGTGTCAAAGGGCAGAAACAACTATGGTGTATAAAGTGGTCTTGTGTACGCTGCTTTGTTTAGCTGTGGCAGCCAACGTAAGTTACCAGCTTCACGTTTATCTATTTTTTATTAATAATTACAAAATAATCGTTATCACAACTGGTTACTAGAAATGATTGAACTACATGTATCAATAATAGTCTTTCAGACATTGTTGGTCTAATTTCACACCCAAAGAACAATAGCAACTAAAAAAAACCCCAAACCACACCGATAAACACAAATTACGTAAGTATGTACATGAATGAACACACACACACACACACACACACACACACACACACACACACACACACACAAACTGTCACATACACACACAAGCAGGTGCGTCCAGTGTGCGACCTCCAACGTTATTTCCCCGTTGACCCATTTGACGTCATCAAAATATTATGTGTCCATCTCTGAGTTGGCGGAAACAGTGCCAATAATTTTAAGGCATGGTGTGGAAATCCCGTGCACGTAAAAAAAAAAGTTGAAGCAACGAATAATGGTTTTTTTTCCAGTCCAAACGGCAATTTGTATCTACTTCTTTTAGTCTCAACATCTTTTATGTCCATTTAAAACACATTTCTGCTCAATTTTTACCGAAAAACATTTCTCAAAGGCCCACACTCGCAAACATAAAATCTATTTAAACTTCTAAGGGCTCTCAAGATTATGATGTGAACAAACTTCGAAGGCCATTATCTCGCAAATTGGACTAGTGGCACCAAACAACACCCACCTCCTTCAATCGCAAAAATTCCAACTTCTCTTCAGGATTATAAGGTTTTAAAAGCAAGGCAAGAGAACAGGCTTTAGAGTTACACCTATGCCGTCATAATAATGTGAAAACTATGCCTCAGAAATGGACGAGCACCTGATTCCAGCGGGTTGTGACACAAATGTTTGAACCTCTGTGAAGTCGTTTGTCATGCTGTCCTAGTTCTCATGTTTCCTGTGCACCATCTGTAACGTCAAACAAACAGTTGAATGATACTATTAATAAGCTTGTTATAAAACGGGCTGACGGTGATTCATTGCAGAGATTTTAAAAATAAAAATAAATGTGAATTTCGTTTTTATTTAAAACGTGCATGTTTTGAAAAGTTATTTCAGAGGCTAGAGTTTCGAATTCAACGTCTATCTCAGATAGGACCGAGTCGAAT